TACCTCGAATTCCTAGTATGATGCATTCTTTGACTTTCTTTTTTTCTTTTTTCGTTCACTATTCCAAGTTAGTAACTGCCTCATGATACAGTTTCAGGATTTCCACAACGTATATCCTATCCAATTCCAATGTCTTTTCATGATTTCCTCTTCAGCTGGAAGTTGATTTGTTCTCTCCCACAGTAAGCGATTACTGATGGTATCCGGTCAACAATGGACATTGAGTATCTTGTGTAGACAATTGTTTATAAATACCTATATTTAGATGATGATTGTAGTAGTTCTCCAAGTTTCAGCTCTGTACAGTAGAACTGTCCAGATATTTATATTGAATATCCTCACTTTAATATTGGTTGATGGTTGTTTTGAGTTCCATATGTTATTCGACTGTAAGAATGCTGCCCTTACATTGCCAGTTCTTGCCTTTACGTCTGCATCCGATCCTTCTTGTTCGGTTCAGTATAGTAAAATTGTTTATAAAGGAGAAAATTATTTCTGAAATCTATATTCATCCATTATTTTCAAACCATACATTTTACTGATAAATATCTAATCATTCATATCATTCCATTATTATCCATATATCATAGGATTCTTTTAGAAACTTCACTGTTAACACATTAGATTATGAAGCTTCTTATACATATTCATATCAAATAAACAAAAGCGTAAGTATCATGCGTCATTTGCTATTTACCATCACAATTAAAATCAAAATCAAACAAATAACTATATTTTTAATTGTTGAGATCATGAGTTAATGGAGAACCTGGAAGCATTGGACGATCGTTTCGTCCCATTGTAGGACTTCTCAGAAGTGTGCATCCATGATGCCGCCTCACGAGATTCGATCGGTCTCACGAGCAATCGCTTAACCTCTAGATCACTGAGCCAGTCGGTATCCGATGGTGTTAATGTCTAAATTCAACTGATTCACTAAATTCAGCGATACATTCACCATTGTCTTCAGTGAGTTACTATCTTACAATAGAACCGGTTGAACTCCCATAATAAGACAAAACGGCTATCCGGTGCTTCCAAGTTTTCTATGGTAGTCTAGCCTCAATGAACTCATGAGCTCAATTATTAAAATTACTATAATATCCACGAAACCCCATCTTAAACAGCTATATGTTTTTTCTTAAAGAGAGTTCATTAACTTGACATCATCATCATCACCTTGTCTTCATCGAATCTATATAACACTATGTTGTGTGATATCAACTGCTTTTTGTTTGTTTGTTTGTTTGTTTACAATTAACAGTGTTGTGTACTTTATTCACAAATAATAACAAAACAACAACAACAACAACAACAACTGTGGATTTTATTCCTTATTTCATAATCGTTTCAAATAAGTGTGAACATGGACTCATCACATCACTTTTGTAAATTCATTTGTGGGTGTATACATGTGAGTGTGTGTGTATGTAAGTATCACTATTCATGTTTAATAGGATCATCAACATTCAGTATGATATCTATTGTTAACAATAATAATGGTAATGGTAATAATAGTGTACATAGATGTGAAGTGTATATATTGTCATATATGACAGTCTTAACCATTGACATTACTATAATATTCACAAAAGCCATTCTGATATGAATCAACATATGTTCACTAGTGACTGGTTTCAAAAGGGTTTCCTGGAGTTCTAATGAGAAGCAGTGAGTAGTGCAGTTCAACCTAGTCTGCTATAGGGTTGCAACTCATTGAAGACATTGGTTGATATATCGCTGAATTTAGTGAATCAGTTGAAGTTAGACATTAACACCGTTGGATACCGACTGGCTCAGTGGTCTAAAGGTTAAGCGATTGCTCGTGAAACCGATCGAATCTCGTGAGGCGGCGTCATGGATGCGCACTTCTGAGAAGTCCTACAATGGGACGAAACGATCGTCCAATGCTTCCAGGTTCTTCACGGTGGTCTAGCTCCAATTGATTCATGATCTCAACCATTGAAATAGAAAATTGTATTATTGGGAATCATATAAATAGTTTTGTTAACTGAACTAACAATGTAACAATAGAACTATGTAAGAACATTTATTTAAGTAGTATATGAAGATTGAAAATATTTGAACTTTGTTAATTTGTCACTTGCTCAACTATTTGAGTATAAATACTGGTTTTCTAATTTAGAACTTCTCTTTATAATAATGTATACTTACTAGTTTATCTAAAATGGAACCAAATGTCTTGAATCTGATGATAGATGAGACAGTGATTTATTTTCGTCGAAATGATTCTTCCATCATAAACACACATTCATTGAAGACTACGATTATGAAACTCTTTAATTGTATGTAATCATTTGCATATCAGTAATCGAACCAAGGACCATGAAGCAGTGAGATGACCACATCATTTACAAAAAATTGATATGACATCCTATAGTTAATATGTTCATTCATGTTCAGTATGATATTATTTGAATACTACCAAATGACTGACGTTGGCAGTATAAGCTCTTAGTTGTCAATTCAATTGTCTGTTAGAAAATTTTTTGGCTGCTTAATCTGATTGGCCTTTTTTAGAAAGGTTTTTGCTACGGGATGGGGTTGCCAAACTCATACCCAACCCTCCTCCTTTACCTGGGCTTGGAAACAGTAGTAACTTCAGAAGAGCTACAGTCCTCCTGTACGGAGCTGAAACTTGGAGAACTAATGCAACTATCGTCAAAAAGGTAAAAGTATTTATAAATAGTTGTCTACGCAAGATACTCAACAGCCATTGGTTGGATACCAGCAATAGTCTTCTGTGAGAGAGAATAAACCAGCTTACAGATGAAGAGGAAATTAGAAAGGACGACTTGGAATCCTGAGGAGAAACGGAAGAGATGAATGCAAAAGAACATGGTGCGTCGAGAATTGGAAGCAAACATGAAAATCATGAATAGTAACCAGAAACAACTGGAAAGGATTGTTTAGGACAGTGTTGAATAGAGCGTGCTTGTCAGTAGCCTATGCTCCTATATGAGGGGTAATAGGCGTAAGCAAGTGTGTGACGCTGCGTTTTGTAAACTGAAGTCCATTATTAGTTCGGAATTGCTGTTGACACACTACGATCCAGCCATGCCGATCATCGTAGCGGCGGACTCTTCATCGCATGGCCTAGGCGCTGTTATCTCACATTAGTTTCCGGAACAGACAAAGTTTGAAAAGCGATCCACTTACGAAGTTGGATGTCTTGTATTTGCCTGGAACTACAGACCAATTTATGGTCCATGGACGGAAGCGCAAGTGGTCAAAAGAGTTGGCCGAGTCATGTACGAAGTTGAGGTAGGCAGAGACAGGTGGCAACGCCATCGGAATCAGTTACGCAAACGGCTAGCCTCAGACCACCCATCAACCGAAGCAAATATTCCCCTTGACATCCTGCTAGACACATTCAACTTACCGGCAACTTCACCACAAGAAAATCCTCAACAACAATGTGTAACACGTTCCAGACAGTGACCTCTCCGATAGCCGCGAGCAACAGTCAAGATGCAGGTTGACCCCAGGAACGTACGCTATTAGAAAGGGGAGGAGTGTTGGGGACATTGGAAAACTAATCAAATATTATATAATAGTTACATCAACTGAGTTCAAATCTATTCTTCCACACTAGATACCATTCAAATTAGATAGTCTTGTTCACATTTCAGTTGTAAATTAATGAAACAATTTGACTTTTATTTAATTATTTGTGTTGATTAGATTGTTTACACCCATGTTTTGACTAATGTCTAAGTCATATTTGTTATTTTTTTTTTAGTTTTTAGATCATAAACCTACCTTAATTAGACAATGATTGAATAGTAGAATGCACTGGGTGGACATTTCGTTGAATTGTGTAACGTCTTAGTAATACTTATTCACTATCCAAGATCAGATAATCAAACTTCAGAGCTTCGATATAGTATATGAATGTTTAGTCTCTAAACTACTAAGACATTATTGAATGAGATTGATTATTGGTAATGTGAAATATTAAGTTTTTAATTGAGATCATGAACCGATTATTGTTAGACCATCACAATTGAAAACCTGGAAGCACTGGACGGCCGTTTCGTTCTATTGTGGGACTCCTCAACAGTGCGCATCCACGATCCCGCGAGCGGGATTCGAACCCAGGGCCTTCGGTCTCGCGCGCGAACGCTTAACCTACTGGACCACTGAGCCGGCATCCAATGGTGATAGTTTCTAACATCAACCAATCCACGAAATTGAGCGACCAACTTCCATTGTACTGAGGTAGATACCTGTCTCTACCCGACAAGGATTAGCTCCACTGATCACGGCTTCTCACTAGAACTCCGAGAATTCCCTCACGAAGCTAGTCACTAGTGAGCACATGTTAATTACTATTATAGGGGTTGTGGAGATTATTAAGTTTTTAATTGAGATCATGAACCGATTAATGTTAGACCATCACAATTGAAAACTTGGAAGCACTGGACGGCCGTTTCGTCCTATTGTGGGACTCCTCAGCAGTTTTTAATTCAATTCCAAAGTGAGATTACCTTGAATGAATACTCTTGAGAAATCATATCCTTGAATGAAATGTTCATCTAGTTACTTTTAGATGATTGAAAATAGAATTATGTTATCTATTAGCCAAAATACAAAAATATATACATGTAAATCATTGAATAAACACAATAATTAAGTGTGAATTATAACTAGTCAATGATTCATTTGGAATTGGAAAGGTAAACAATTTGAATTGTATATATATATATACATAGTTAACACTAAATCAACTTGATCTGTTCATGATCATGTATGAAGTGTGAACTACAATCTAAATGAATGATCTATTATTCTACTTATAGTTTATCAGTAAATAGAATGTGTAAATATCATACATTGACATAATTATCACAATATTCTGATGATGATGATGATGATGATTTATCATAATTATCTTTATTGTATATTTACTTCATCTTTATTGGAATGTTATCAATGATGGGGGGGGGGAAGGGGAACAATGAAACAATTACTTCAATTCATTCATTCATTCATTCATTCAAATGATACTTCAATAGAGATTGTATAGAATGAAATCGATTACAGTAATTAATATTGATTATATTGATTGATATCTTCTTTGGAAAGTGATTTTGTTTTCTTTTACTTTTTCTTTGATGATAACACATAATAGACATGCACACACACACATATACACACAGATACACATGAATATGCACATAAATATGTTTACATATTATCGATTTTATAAGGAAAATCATGATCTCTTTAAAGCCTATACTGATCATCATCGTAATACAAGTAATTCACAGTTTATTTAAGCTTTTTATTACTATTGATATTATGAATGTCACTTTTCAATTGATCATCAGTTTTCACTCATATTATTGTAAGAAATGATAGATTGTGACTAGCAATGGAATTCAGGACATGTGTATCGTTTTATTTGGAATTTGTCAGCTATATGTATTTGCATCTCAAAGTTGATGTTTACTCTGAGACTAGAACTCAGTATCAGTCAGTCAGTAACAACGTAGAACTTTGTACGTACGTATAGCAGTTCCAGTTGCCATACCATATTAGCACAGAGATACAGTTGTCGACTCAAATCCCTTAGTGGGAGAGGTAGTAAGAGTATAAACAGTAATCGGAAACATTAGGGCTTGTAGATGTTATTTAAAGAGTATAAAACAGTGAAATAAATTTGGAAAAAAGGGACATGAAGAATTCAGAAAATGAGAATTTAGGAGAACACAAAGAGTGGATGCACCTGCGCCATTGCAAACGATTTTCAGTCATGTCATTCAGGGTCTCTAACCATCGGTTGCTATCATCTCGCGGTCCCCAACCACGTAGTCTACACTTACCAACATGACTCCGTCCACTTGTCAGTGACTTCATGGACTTGTGCGATGCTTTGGTCTGACCGCCCCTAGCTTTCTTCCATTCTACTCCTATACCACTGAACATATCACGTCGAGGTAGTCGGTCGTTGGGCATACGTAACATGTGTCCCAGCCATCTCAAATGATGAAGTTTCACTACTTCATCAATTGATTTGCCATCCTTACCTAGTACCCGTTTCCTAACAATTGCATTACTTACTCGATGATTCCAGGATTTACGAGCAATGTTTCGAAGACACCTAAGATCGAATACTAGTAACCTACGAATATCCTCTACTCTTACCGGCCATGCTTCACTGCTGCACAGTAAACACGTAATTTGGTTGACAGACGGATATTTCGCCTACGCCATAAATGACGCGAGTTGGCAAAAGCTAGTCGAGCCATCTGTAGCCATGCTGAGATTTCGTCACGCACCAGACCACAAGAACTGATGAGACTTTCAAGATAAGTGAAGTGGTCGACACGCTCAACCACTTCACTCCCTATCATTAGTTCGGGTGTCAATGCAACCCAATCCTGACTCTGTATTTTGTCAGCATCTTCACCAAATAGAACTATGTCATCGGCATATTCTAGGTCTGAAAGTGAATCTCCTAGTAGAAGTTCAACCTCTGCAAATTTAGATGAGGAAAGTGTTATCTCTAAAAGCACATCAATGATAAAGTTAAACAAGAATGGAGAGAGTTGACAGCCCTGACGATCACCACTTAAGGTAATCAATTCTGATGACAGTTCGCCATAAGCTCTCACTAGACCAGTTCAGTTGCGTTCGAGTAGAGAGCATTTACAAGGTTAGCGTACTTCTTTGATACTCCTTTCAGTGACAAACACTGCCATAGAACCTTACGATCGACAGAGTCGAATGCCGACTTAAGGTCGAGAAATACTACGACTGTGGGGCGTCTGAACGTGTGTCTGTGTTCTAGAACCTGACGTAGTGTGAATATGTGGTCTATACAGCCACATCCAGGTCGAAAACCAGCCTGGCTTTCTCCACTCTACTCTTCACGAGCTTTGGTTAGGCGTCGAAGTATTGTTCACTTCAAATGTCTTCACATTATCCAGTTGGCTATTTTGTCCTGATATTCACTTGTTTACGCAATGGGGTGAAGTTTAAATTCACTCGGTATTGTTTACTTGAATATTCCTATTGATATTTAGCACTGTAACTGATACGTCTTTTATTGGCATATGTGTATACTATGCGGATTGCCTCGATATTGCCTTAAGCCATATGCATTATAAGCAAAGATGGATAGTGGCTAGCAATGCAATCCAAGACACGTATTTCATTCTATTTAAAACTTGTAAGCAAGATGTATCTTCATCTCAGAGTTGATGTTTACTCTGAGACTCGAACCCAGTACTGTTCACTTAAAATGATATCGATTTATCCATTTAGTTACTGAGTCTCGATGCTATGGGTTGAGATTTAAATTCATATGGTATTGTTTACTTGAGTCCCAGAGTGAACATCAGCTCTAAGATTTAGGTACATACAGCAGAAGAGTATCGAAATAGAACAAAACGATCGTCTTGGATTCTACTGCTAGTCACCATCTATCTTTAGTTATAATGTTTATGACTTAACGCAATACGCACAGTATGCACATATGCCAATAAAAGACTGATTAGTCGCAGTCCTAAGCATCAATTGGAAGATTCAAGTAAACACTGATGCTATTGTGTGTTCTGTTTATTCTTCATGTAATTATTGAAGGAAGAATTTTCCCTTACATATGTACAGACACGTTGACCACCATAGATTCCTTAAATGTTGAGGTTCGTCACTAAACTACATGTAATTTGTAGTGATAGTATCGTTCTCTTAATAAGTAATTGTTTGGAACTTCGATTTCACTCATATTTAGACCGTGTGGTTGGATATTTCAGTAAATTTAACACTAATGCCTACAAAGTGACATTTACGCTGTCCTTGCTTTTAGTATACGTATTGATATTATCAGTATGGGGTTGTGGAGAGTGTTAACTTTTTGATCGAGATCATGAATTAATGGATGTCAGACCACCACTGAAAACCTGCGTCTACGATTCCGCATTCGGGACTCGAACCCAGGGCCTATCGGTCTCGTGCCCGAACGCTGGCATCCAACAGTGTTAATGTTTAGTTTCAATCAATCCACAAAATTACACGGACATCTTCCACTGTCTGAGATAGATACATGTCTCCACCCAACACGGATTAGCTCCGAAGGTTCTAAGTTCGTGTCCCACGTGCAGGATCTCGAGTGCACACTGCTAAGGAGGAGTCTTCTGCTAGGACGAAACGGTCATCAATGATGGTCTAACATTGATTCATTCATCATCTCAGTTAAAAACTCAAAAATTTGCACGATTTCATACTGATGTTTTCTTAAGTCTACAAATGTCTATTTTTGATCTATTTGTAAGAACGTAAGTAAATTGTCTTCTTTCGAATTTACTTTCGTCAAGTGTTATTGTTGATAATGAAGTTCACAAAGGATTTAGTAATAAGTATAATCATGATGAAGATGATGAGGAGGACTATTATTATGAAGAATATGAAGATGACAATGATTGAGATGGTGATAAACAGATAAACGAAATGTTAAGTCGAATAATAAGCAATTGCTGATGGTATCCGGTCAACAATGGACATTGAGTATCTTGTGTAGACAATTGTTTATTAATACCTATACTATTTAGATGATGATTGTAGTAGTTCTCCAAGTTTCAGCTCCCTATAGTAGAATCGTCCCGATGTTCGTATTGAACAATGGGAATTTGATATTGGTTGATGGTTGCTTTGAGTTCCATATGTTCTTCAACTGCAGGAATGTTGCCCTTACATTACCAGTCCTTGCCTTTACGTCTGCATCGGATCTTCATTGTTCATCAATGATGCTGTCCAGGTAAGTGAAAATTTCCATGTCATACAGAGTTTCCTCATCGGATGTTATTGGGTCAGTATTCTTCGTATTGTATTTGAGGATCTTAGTTTTTTCATTGTACGTGTTGAGGCTCATTGATGCAGAGGTTTCTGTCACAATGATTGTCTTGAACTACATTTCTTCGTGTTTATGAAATAGAAGAGCAAGGCCATCTGCAAAGTCCAAATCATCCAATTGCATGCAAGTTGTCTATTGTATTCCGTTGGAATATAACACTTCATATTTCAGTGCATTACAATAAACAATTCATTGGAATCGATGGAGCGATATTAAGTCTATTACGATTGCTTTCATCTTCTGAGCACATGATAATATTGATTCTGGCTTCCTTCAAAACAGTGATCGCATTGAATAAATTATAATGAGTGATGGTTCTAGGCTTTTAATCAATAGTTTGTAGATTTAAAATCCATTTTACTTTCATTCCATCTTGACAGCCAGTTCATTCCACTAGCTCTTTCCGTATACTTCAGTCACAAATATGAAAGACTACCTTTAAAAGTGGCTGATACATATATGACAATAGTTGAGAATAGGTTATATTACTTCAAGGTTTTATCTGAACGATTTACTGAAAGACTCTTAATCTATTTGGAACACCACTAATAAAGTTAAATACAAATCGCTTACTATTTCGTTTAAAGAGAAATTAGATAAATCTTGGAGATGAACTGTGTGAGAAAGATAGAGTTAAGAGTAAATCTAAGATATTTAAGCTTCGAGATGGTGGAGAAGATTTGTAGCTCAGGTGGATGATGTCGTTCAGAAGAACGATGAAAGCTCCACGACCAAACCATCCAGCTCAGAGAACAAAACTCCACCAAAATATTTAAGCTTCTTGTTATGACGCGTGATGTCTGACACCTGATACTGATACGCAACCTGCTACGCTCTAACCCTCCTCCTAAAATGACTACTTAAGCGAGAAGGTAAGAATGGAAGAGAGTCTATTGGATTGCCGAAAAATATGCATGAATACTCATTTATATATGCACGCTTTTAATTCTTGGAAAATCAATCCATTTCTTAACCAATAATATGTACTTGTTCTTCAAGTCATTTCTGTTTGTCATCAAGTGACCTACTCGCTTGTCTACTCTTGACCGGTTCACTGAATCACCTTTACAGTTGATAATATACCTCAGCTAGAATAATAGAGAACGTTTTGGAATGTCATACCTTCCTTTCTTCCTCCTTCCATAAGGCGCAATTTATTCTTTTTTGCTAATAAATATCATAGACATTCTACATCTAACTAGACTGTTCCTTTCTTATGGCTCTTGGTAAATAAACAACATTGTTACCCATAAATAAATAAAGTACCACTGATAATTGTCATTGAATTCTCAGCTTTACGAACAACAGTTACAATAGTATAAATATTAAAGTTCCTTTAGAAGTTAACTACTGAAACTCATATAAGTAGCATATATATTTTATAAGAATTTTATATGACACT